CGAGCGTCTGCCGACAGCAACATTTATATAATCCACTAAATGATCGAGAAATTTGAGTGAGTCTGCATCTCCCTCTTCTTCGTATAGTGTTCTTCGTTCTCATCTGCGCACGCATAAACTGTTAATCGTTCGAAACGCAACCAATCACGGAATCGTTTCAGATGTGACCGTTACTACACCTTATTGGCTGGAATTTTCGTGATATCAGTAATGCAGAAACAAATGGAAGTTTCCATATTGATAGGGCCAATAACATGAATCAAGAATTCAATGCGAACAAAACCACTGCTTACGTCACCCCCGGAATTGAAAATGCAATTCTTATGCGCGTTGTATACTTATATCATTAGTTAGCGGTTGTTCTAGAGTGGTTGGTAGCTAACTGAGTGCGCAAGTAATTGGAGTAAGCGGAAGTTTCATTCCCCAACAATACTACCGAGTTTGCGGTGGTGCAAACTTCTTGGCAAACAATCATAGCTTCTCATCTTGCAAGAAGTAACTCTTTGCAACTTTTCCGGATCTTGGGTATCAGTAGTGTGAAGCTCTTCGATATTTCTCTCCTTAACATTCAGATAGTAAGAAATGTGATTGAAACGACTGAAAGTAATTGAATGATGACCCAACATGTAAACAAGAAAACAGGTTGACTTGTCAACTAACTTATTTATTTTATGCTTGAAAAATGGAATAGAATTATAAACAAGCAGGGCGACTTATTTCAGAAAACTATGTTTCAAAATACAACATAGGAGCAAGTCAATCACTAACTGCGGAATAAAAAAAATACTACAGCTTGTCAATTAATTTAAGCGTTCTTCTCGAGCTCGATAAGATGCTTAACACCATCATACATTTGCTTAACAGCCTCGTACTCAGTAAGACCAAGACGAGCCTTGTTGGAGATGTCATAAACTCCTCCCTCAGATTCGGAGTGTTCTCCGTGGATTCCACGGATCTAAAGATGAGACAGTTTAAAACGATAAATATGAGACTGAATCATACCTGGAGCTTGAGCCCGTCGCAGATGGTCTTGAAATCAGGCTTAGCAGAGATCTTTGGAAGGCGAATGTGAACGGAAGCACGAACGGTTGTACCTTAAATATTATTATTAACATAAATACTAACGCTTATAGTTACCAAGATTGGTTGGGCAGAAAGTGAGCCATCCTAGACGTTCATGACGGCTGAATGGAGCTTGGGTTTCAATAGTCTTGACTCCCTTGATGAGACGCTCAAGAACTTGTCCAACGTTTCCTCCCTCTTGCATGGAGATGATACGGAGGTGATCTTCTTCATTGCACCAGACGAGGAAAGTCTTT